AAGACAGATCATGAGCTTTACGTCTAGCAACGAGCGGTTCGGAAGTAATGCAGTCAAAATGCTGCTCGAGCAAATACGACTTTGCTACCAAACGCAATAAACCCACGCCACATATCCGAGGATTCGTCGGCCATTGTTTTAGACAAGAGACACCGGTGAATTGCATCACAATGGAAAATAGTATTCCATGATATGAGGGACCTCTTCAGATGAATAGCACTGGCCACAGGCACGTGTAGTGCTAGATACAGAAAGGCAGTTGGAGTCCAGGTGGGCAACCCAAGACCGATCTTGAGGAGATTGTTGCAGCAAGTATCAAGAGCACTAGGCTTCGGAAAAGCAAGGTCATGACCATAAAGTAAAGCGCTCCATCCAACCGTCACAGCAAGTCTCACAATGAAAACCGGAGCCATAGCTCGGTACACGTGTAGAGCAGCAGAAACCGCAGCAGTCGCCTTGGCTTTCCTATGTAGAGGAGCCCAGAGAACTCTCTTAGAACTCAAAAGATCAACTCCAAGGTAAGAGAAGTTGAAGACAACCTCGATCTCGCTATCCCGGAGTGTGAACTGAGAATTGCTGGTCTCTCGCAAGCGATTACCAAGGGGAACAACGAAACTTTTCTCTGGTGCATACTGGTTCATGGACCGTTCTGCCCACAACGCAGCGCTTTTAAGACGGTTATTCATCTCAGTGACACATATAGGCAAGTTGCGTCCATGAACTAAGATGGTCTGATCATCAGCAAAGAGAAGACGGTTTATAATCTTGATGATACCGTCTGGGAGAACTATCTTGGGCGATAGAGACGGCGTACCAATCGCAAGTGAGGTGTTGCATACCTCCATGGATAAGTTGAAGAGTAGGCAGGCAAGAACGCTGCCTTGAGGGACGGAACGAGTAGCCACGAAGGGTTTGGAGGTACCACAGGCAGTAGCAACACGAACCTTACGAGGTCTCATCATTGAGGCGAGAAAGTTTCGCAGCCTGCCAATCGACGATAAGTTGCGGATGAGAGGTAAGAGTATTGCCGGTTCAGCGGAATCGTAGGCCTTCCTCAGGTCAAGGAAGCAAGCCAGCAAAATTGAACGGGTTCGTTTAGCATCAGATTGAAGAGCTTTGAGTATGAAAGCATGAGTGATGCAAGAACGACCCTTTCTAAAGGCTGCTTGTTCCCAGCAGAAAAAAGCATCAATGATTGGTGCAATGCGGCTGAGCACACACTGTTCCATACTTTTGAGAATCATAGGTAAAAGGCTGATAGGGCGGCAATCAGAACCTCGTGAAGGTTTCGATTTTTTCGGCAGAAGCACACAGGTCGCAACCAGGAGGTCATCCAAATTAGCCTTACCACCCATAATCGAGTTCAGGCGTGAAGCAATGACATCGCATACAACTGAGTGCTCACTGGCTAACCGGAGTACCGCGCCGTGAACCATATCGGGACCAGCAGCCTTATTTGTTGGAGAAAGTCTCAAAATAGTATGAAC